TAGGTCTTTAAAGACGTCCCCAATATTGTTTCTATAAGAGTTGGAGTCATATAAGAAAATCATATTTTTTCCTTCCAAAGAGTTACTATGAGACCACATATGATATATAGGTGCGACCGCATGGGGTATTGAAATGGAACTCACGGATTCCCTACAGAAAAATATTCGACCGAGTGGGAGATCATGCTATGCAACAGCATAGCAAAGGGAAAAAGTCCAATTTTTGCATTTTAGTCCCCAAACTCCGTTTTCTCGTTCTTTGCTCTCTATTTTCACTTCTTCTTCTTCCAATAATTTATTCCTTCGCTCAATTGGTTTTCGACTCTTTCACATATTTGTTTATCCTTTCGGATCATCTTTCAATTATTTACACGTTGGTCCCTGATCTTTGATTTCTTCTATTTTAGTCATTTTTTCGCTTAGTTCTTTTCAATTCCATCGTATTCATCAATGTTATCCTACAAAAACATAATTTATATATAATTAAGTCATTTTTCAATATATTTATCAACAATTATCTATATTTTACGGTCTAAATAAGTGTGTAAAATGCACTTATCATTGTATGATGAAGCTACTAGAATATACATAAGATTTAAGATGTGGTTGCTGAATTTGTTCTACAACTTTTTTATCAGTCACAGTTTGTGCAACCAAAGAATTTGGACGTGAAGCTTTTGGGACGGGAATATGTAGAGTTTCCCAAAATTGATATTCCATAGAATTCTCCCTCTCGAGAAGTTTGGAAGAAGAAAGTCTTATTTTCAAAAAGAGCAGTATCAAAGATGACATACGATTTTCTCTCTCGAGATCACAATTCTTGTACCCCCAATGAGTAGGTGAATAGTCCAAGAATATGTTGCGGTCGTGATTTCTTTTCCCTTTTTCCCGTTCGTCTTTTATCTTCTTCATTATTACTACATTATTTTCAAATAACGGTGATGCTTGATTACAGACAAAATGAATCGTGATTGAATCTAATGACTAACACTTTTTTGGTATTATAAATCAATTCTCATTCGTGTAAATTGGTCCATCTTGGTACTTAAATTCTCAAATTTTGGTTCTTAACTAAATTATAGCAATTAATTTGAAAAAAAAAATATTTTTCTTTTACTCCAAATTTAATCAACTTCATTAGACAATACTGAACAAAAATATATTTTTTTGATAGAACTTATTTACAGAAATGGTCCCTAACCTATGGCTCTTTTGGAAATCGGGACCTTTCCTTTCAATCTCGACTTTAACGTCCTCATTTGAAAGTTTAGGTGTTGATATACTTCTTCCAAGCAGATAACCGTTGCAAATTCAACCCTTGTTTGACAACTATTATTTGAAAACTCTTTTTTCTATATACTCATTTTCAACCATATATTCACACAATAAAATATTCTACATGGAAACCCAAATTTTTTCATACTTTTTATTCAAATATTCTTCTAAAAATCACTAATCAAAACTTTGTTTTTTTAAAAAATAATGATTGTTAAACAGTGGCTCAATTTTATTGGCAAAATGATTGTTGTACCCTTGTTTCTTAGATAACTAGTCAGGTGCACGTGCGATGCACGTGCTAGTG